ATTTTGGTAGGGCCTATATTTTCAAATTGAGACCCCAAATTTCACAATAATCCGATTTCATAATCAGCCGCGACAATCATTACTAATAATTCCAAAAATGGTAATTGATTAAATGGTTCTTATCTTGCGCATGTGCTATCTCACGCCATCTCGATTTATTCCTGTTTCATCCTGGTGACCGTTGAACCGGTCCCCGACTCGTTGTCTGACTTTGAAGCTGGGGGAATGCTCCCGCTTAGCCAGCTTTTCGATCTGTTGACTTACGTCAACTTGAAATACTGTGACTAAAATTGCAATTAATTGACCAATTGTAGCTGTGCCACCAATCAATTAATTGAGGTCAAATAATTGCAATTAATTGCTCTCACAATCAATTATTCGGTAGCCTGTATACCGGGTTGGTGAAAAGTAACTAAACAGGTCCCCATTTTTACCATCTCCGCTAATATTTAATTTATTATTTTGTAATTTATTACGATGATTACTAACCATTAAAATGATAATCAGTGTGTTAAAAAAAATTATTATTGTTCGTAATGGAACCTGTCCCTTCTATCGAACGAACGACTTCCATGGCCAACAAAACCTTCGTCTAATTAGTACAATATGGGTCGCTAAGCAAGTCACCTGACTGTCATGTGACCAGACTTAGCGAGTATCGTGTTCTTTCTCACTTTCTTCTTTCTTTCTCATTTTCTTCTTTTCTTCTTTTTTTTTTTTTTTCCTTCCCCCTTCTCTCTTTTTTTTTTTTTTGGGTGAGGTGGGGGGATCACTGGACACAATATCGAGCAGAAAAATTTAAGAACAAAGGCCAAGGTAGATCATCAAGTTACTCAAATATTCAATTCCGGACAATACAGGGCCCGTGATCTATCATCACGTGGAATCCAGTGACTCACAATAATGTCCGCCTTGTGACTTCGTTCACAAGCGGGTCAGATCCCATTTATAACTTTTCGCAAACTCGGGTAATAAATTAAATATTAGCGGAGATGGTAAAAATGGGGACCTGTTTAGTTACTTTTCACCAACCCAGTATAGGTATATAAACTAAATAGCGTAAACCTCAGAAAATAAGCACCGTACCCTCCACCCTACTTTTTTCCATACCTCAAGACTCAAGAAGACTCTCGCGAAACGATGCACGATCGTTACGCAAGAAAATCGCCGTACGATCCCGGGACCCACGAATTGAACGACGTTCTCCTGCAGCAAGCTCGTGAAAATGCATCGAAGCCAAGCCCCCATAAAAAAAAAAGATTTTAGGCAGCGTTCCCACAAAAACTTGGTCACCTCTAATTTTTTACCAAAAATAAAACTGTGTTGTTGTTGTTGTTTGGGCTAGGGTTAAATATCTTCATGTCTTGTAGTAAAGGATTGTTTACGTTACACCTGATCTTGAAATTTGATTGGTCAAAAATCACTAGGAGAGCTAGGGGCGTCATAAAAAAGTAACCCATTTGCCCAATTTGAATTGATAGCTGTCAAGTTAATATTACCTTGTCGGGTTAAGTGTTTGGGAAAATGTTAGAGCAATGAAATGGCATGAACGTTTTCTTGTCCTTTATTTTGCCCTGTAAAGATAAAAAGCCTTCTTGTTCTAGCAAAATAGAGTGTTGTTATTAGTCCTTACATATAATAAAAAGACCCCAATTTGCTTATAAAAAAGTCCACCTTGACCAATGTATGCTGAATCATTATGTGTAACTTACTCAACTCCAAGCCTTAAACAGTCAAATCAAATCCAGAATGTCTATATTATTATATTTAAAAAAATTATAGCGAATATGTATGTCATTTATTTGTAATTACTTTATTGTCTCATTTTACTGAAAACTCGCATTTAATAGTAACACTAAAGGATTGTTTTTCAAATTTTTTTTTTCGGTTAAAATAAAGTTCCTCTTTACTATAAAAATCATATTCCTTAAAAATCTTGATAAAAACCTGTTATTTAAAAAATT